CTTTTTTAATGGACTTGATGTTACAATACCAGGTGAAACACAGAGGAGTGTTTTCCAGTTAGCTTTATTACCCAAAGAGCCTTGCTTAGGTTTGGACCAATCACATCCTTCCCTCTGAGCATTAGTCAGTGTTGTCTTGCTGATACACAGCCAGGGAAGAGCTCCCCTTAGTGATCTGAAAGCATAGGGTTGCAGGGATCCCCTCAAGCTATCTCTTAGCTTGAGATAGCAAAGTCTAGTACAAAGTTTAGCTTTTAGGGGCTGAGTTAATGAGATGTGTCTGCACTTAGCTTTTTGAAGGTATCTAAATGGTGTTACAGTCAGATGGTATTGGTAAAGGTACTCCTTGCTGGTTATTTGACAGACCTTTTGCTGAAGACAGCCGCAGCAGGACAACTGTCCAATAAACGCCACGTAGGAAGTCACATGATCCATCCCCACCATCTTACTTACGTAAAAACTTAATGAACGTATCATTAATATTGACAGTAACTTTAACAGATTTTAACAGTGCTTTGCCAGTGCTTAATGCTTGCCAGTGGCACAGGAAGAAGTGCCCCACCATGTGTCTCATCAAGACTGTGAGGTTGGGCCTAGGAATATAGTTCAATCCCCAATACCTAGGATTAAGCCTACTTTTGACTACCTGTTAATATAATTATAAAAACCCACATCTGTTGGAAAGTTATTCTGAAATAGGGATCTAAGCAGATATCAAGTTTGTGCTTTTAAAGGTCCCTAAATCCAACAGAGTCAGTATCAAAGAATAAACAAGAAGATACAGGTAGCAGGTGAAGGTAGAAGCAGAGCTTGGAGTTAAGTATCTACCAGCCAAGGAACACCAAGGCTAAAAAGCAGCCCCAGAATGAGAAGAGAGGGACAAATGGTCTCCTTGAGGCTCCCAAAGGAGCCAGCCCTGCAAACGCCTGGATCTCACAGAATGAACTTCAGTTGTCTTACATCATCTAGCATGTGGCCATTTATAAATTCCCAAAGAAACTAATACAAATAGGCAGTGTGTTTTTACAGTTTAGTCTTCTGATTTGTAACACATGGATTTTAATGAACCTGATTACCTGGGATTACTGTTAAGAATGATGTTGTACCTAATGTGCTTAGAACTGGCTGTGCCACTGGCATTAATAACAGACTAGTGGCAGCACCAAGAAGCATCTGGATAATACCTCTGAGTAACAGGATCAAAGACAATCCGTTACGTCGTATTTCTCTGTGTCTCATAAATTATTTCCAAGGGGCACACAATCTCATCTTTTAATCAGAAGGCATTTGTAAATGTGAAATGGTATTTTAAAGTGTAGAGGCTACATATCTTGCAAGCTCGCTGTCAGAGAAAAAAAATATTGTGCTTTGTGTTGTAGTGATGGAGTATTTAAAGGACTCACACCCTGGCAGGGATCCCATGGTTCTAGAGAAGGAGAAATCTGATTATCAAGATCTGAGAATTACAGAAAACAAACTGCTGTGGGTAACCTAGTCTTTCAGCAGGCCAGGCATCAGGTCCTGAAAAATCACTGCCTGCCATTCAGCACAAGGAAGTCTGACTTCTTTCCTGGCGTGCTTGTTTTGACACACGGTCCTTGTACAACGGATCACAGAATGAAGCTTCCAGATTTTGTTTGAAAGCCTTTGTATTCTAAATCCTTACAGACTGTAGGCTATTCAGTTTCCCTGGTATATGTACTTTAAGCAGTCCATAGAACTTAGCTAAATCAACCCATTTCTCTTATGAAAAGCACTATTCTGTCAATGAAACATTAAATCCATTCAGAGTACCACCGACTGACGGATTAAGGATGAGAATGCACCTCAGACTAGGGCACCCCTGACAGCAGGGATGGAGAAGGACTGCTGACAGGCAGCCAAAGTGAGAAACAAGGTTCTCCATGCTCCCAGCTCTCTTCAGAATCAACTCAGTGCCTTGTAGTAGGCAAATGGGCAGTGAGTACTTTTTTAAAATGACTGTGAATTTATAAAATAGACCACCTGCAAATTACTGTTGTTAGTAGCTCTTTAGTGACACATGAACTAGAGTATATTTTAGCTCAGCAGAAACTGATAGTCTGCAAGTTAATATCCTATTGAGAGTCCTCTATGTAAGCTGTGTGACCTCTATTTGGTGAGAACCATTAATCTAGGGGTGGTTTAAGACTCATGGAGGGGATAGTCGTGGCTTGCATCTTCAAGTGTGGCCATGACAGACTGGAGAATCTGGTGCAACGGAACACCCAAATGGGAAATTCCAGGTAAGACAACTGTGGTGGTTTGAATATGCTTGGCCCAAGGAAAGTGGCACCATTAGGAGGTGTGACCTTGTTGGAATAGGTGTGGCCTTGTTCAAGGAAGTATGCCACTGTGTAGGCAGCTTTGAGGTCTCCCAATGCTCAAGTTCTTCCCAGAGTGGAAGAGACCCCCGCCTCCTGGATGCCTTTGGGTCAAGATGTAGAACTCTCAGCTCTTCCAGAACCATTCTTCCCACAATGATGATAATTGACTGAACCTCTGAGACTATAAGCCAGACCAAATGAAATGTTTTTCATTATATGAGTTGCTATGATCACGGTGTCTCTTCACAGGGATAAAATCCTAAATAAGTCAGTCACCTAATGTTCTGAGTTCTCAGAGACTTTGTGGATACACTTCTGGCTCTGTCCACCCAACCACTCCCTGCCTGCCTGCCTGTCAGCCTGTCTGTATGCCTGCCATGGCCATCCTTCAGGCTGAGCTTTCTTCTTCCTCCTCAGGCCTTTGAAGTCAAGGGTCAGCTCCACACTTTCCTGCCTATGCCTAAAGGGGTACTTAATTGAGTAATCTGGTTACAAGTAACTATAAGCTGAATAGACAAGAAGAAGGAAGGAGGGAAAAAGGGAGGGAGAGAAAAGAGGGAAGGAGAAAAGAGGACGTAAGAGACAAAACATGCATGGAAATGGTTGAAAGCCACCAGACAAGTTCTAAAAGACTATTTGGTATTCAGGAAGGAGAACTGGAAGATTCTAGTCACTTCCTTGTGCTGCCATCCATCTCTGCTTCCCATAACACCCCCTCCCCATGGCATGGGGGACCCTAAAGCCCCATACTAAATTTCCAAAGGTTTTGCAAGACATCTTCATGGCTTCTTTTCCTTTCTGTCATAACTCAGATATTGGTCAAGTTGCCTCTCACAGCTACTGCCAAGCTTGACTCTCAAATCTCTGTCTCCATATTCAATTTTATTTATGCCAGTTCTAGCCAGCTCTTTGATAATTCACCTCTGTTCCAATAGCAATGTAAATAAAATAGGTATGAACACTAAATTCATTTTTCCTTCCCATTAACTTGCCTCATACATTTCCAGTTGTCAATGTGTTCAGGCACCAGCATCTTCCTGCTGAAGACTGAATGTTTAGAGCCATGTTGGATTTCTTCGATGATCACACTTTGAGGATTCCCCTGAGCCCACTCTCTCATATCTCCTGTTTCTTTATTCTACATTTCTTTCCAGCACCCAGATATTACTCTTCTTCACTTTGGAACCTTTCACTGTCTCAGTTACTAATGGTGCTTTCATCTCTTCCCTTCAGAAAATAATCCCCGACTATGAACCGTGCCAATAAGTTTGGTGTCAGAAGCTTCCTTCTTATGAACTGGCCTTGGTCACACTCACTCCCCTACATTCCTCCTCCCGTGCTCTCTACTCTTGGCTGCTGAACCACAAAGTGTTTCTCTGATTTAACATTTTTATTTTCATAGATGTTTCAGAATGTTTTCCTCTCAGCTTTCAATACCCATAACACTCTTGTATAGAAACAGATAAGCAAGCAAACTGGAAAAACAAAACAAAACACTACCCAAGATTCCCAAACCTTAGGGACAAGTGACCCACTTGTCACCTTTGACCTGTGCTCCCATTGGGCTCATGTAGCACCAGCTCTCATACGATCTTCCTGATTTTGTATGTCTGGAAGAGGAGAGTACCATGTGGTCCACCATTGTGTATCCCATAACATTTGTCTCTTCCTCCATTCTGTCCCCTATCATAGACAATAAGGGCTGTAGAAGAAGATAACTTCCTGATTTCTCATCTCTAGGAGCTTCCATTTCAGCATGATCCACAGGCTAAGAGGCATTAACACCAATGATAGCTGGCCAGAAGAACCATCAAGACCCACACCACTGAGCACATGGCTTAAGATGGCAAATGGCAGGTCTTATTGTTGGGAACTGAAATTGGATCCTAGTAATTAGTATGCTTTGAATAGATAAAACAACTATCTATTTAACTCCTCGAAAAAGGCCAGGGCTTGTGAGGATTGTTCAGTGTACTTTGAGCAAGTGTGCCTTGTTCATAAGAGGGTGAATGAGCTGCTGTGATTAGAAGAGGAGAAAGTATGATGTGAGTCCTAACAGTTACCATGGCCTTGCTGATGTCAGGAGAAGAATCAAGTGCTTCTTAGGATTGTTCATTTTACCATTATACAGCCCTGAAGAGTCAGTATTATTCCTGCAGGTAGCTGAGTTAAGGAGATTAAGTGACTAGTCAAAGTCATATAGTGACAGAAATGGTTCTGTAAGTGGTTATCACCCACAGAACCATGCTGTTGCCTCTAGGGTAAAATGCAAATGTCCACTGGGTGATGTCTTCAAGGAGGAAGACTTGCTATATATATATGCATAACTCATGCTGTGGAACCTTAAGTACCATGCGGAATGTGGGGAACTTAAGATAAGTGAATTGACCCTGAATGCAAGGTTGTCCACCATGATGAAACAAGGCAGCTGGGCAGGCAGATGAGTGCTCTGGGGATAAATGGCAAACCTGCCCCAACTGTGACTGACATCTCTATACCCAGGAAGCACAAAGAAGGTCACACTAAAGTCTGGATGCAAATGTCTTCATTCCTGTATACTGCAGCTAGGGACATGATCCCATCAACCACAGACTTTCTGAAGGAACATCTGTTGTTGAGTGACGGGTAAAACAGAAAATGACAAAGGAAACATACCTGGTCTCATTGGCACAGCGGATCTTGCAGCCTTCCTTGGGAATCACCAACCCTAGATGCATTCGAAGCCTGCAGTTTGTGGGTCCTGTGTGTGGCCACACATGAGTTCCAGGGTGCATGATGGAATATTTGATCTGTATAGAAAGTATGACACCCAATTATCCATTTAACAAGGTATGGAGAAGCAGCAGAATCAGTATCAATTCATATGAGAGTCTTTGTAACCCTTGGGACTTATATTCACATCCTATTTTCTTTGTGAAGGAGACAAAAAACAAGCACTCTTGTTTCCCACAATGTGACATAATACTCAAGATTTTTGACCTTCAAATTTTGACATTAACCACATGAAATTATGTTTCATTAAAACGTGAATGAGAAAAGAGACATCCATTGTGCTATGGGAAATAATTGTGATTTTTGTAAAGGTCAGTTCTGCCTCTTTCCTGACAACAAACTGTCTTCTTCCCATCTCTGAAAACACTCTTGATACCTGTCCTCTTCTGCATCCTGTTGTCTCAGAAAACTTCTCTAGTAAAGTACAGGTCTTAGGAGCTCCTTTACAGGCATTCTCATTTTTCCTTCCTAGAACAAAACATGATGAAACTATTGAGAGAAGCAAATCACAGTTGTCATGGTGCATCTGTGGTCTCAGCTACAATGGAAGTTAACTAGGAGGATTACTTGAGCCTAGGAGTCTTTAAGATTAACCTGATCACATAATGAGCCCCTACTGAAACACACACACACACACACACACACACACACACACAACTAAATTGAGTAAAACTATCTCATCCCATTTGAGCCACATGTAGTTGTATGATCACCTTTGCTATCAGAATGTGAAGGCCAAGATAAAGACAGTTAGAGGCCAATGTTGTCACTATAGGGCCCTTATATGTATAAAATGAGAGAGAAGAGTCTATAATTCAGATTATAAGAAGACTGATTAGCCATTGCTGGTTTTAGAGATGGACAAGGGACACAAAAGTCATAGTCAGATACTAGAATCTGAAGCTTGTTGAAGGATAATGACAGCAGTGATACTCACTGAAGACTTCTGAGCCATGCCTCAAGTAACTAGTTTCTGTTAATTTGTTATAGTACACACTGGAAATTAATATAGAATCTAAGAAAGGAGAACACTTTATATTCTATCCCTAACCTGAGATGCATTTCTAAGAGATAGCAAAACATCTTGTGTTAGAATTTAGTGTATTTTTCAATGTATTAAGAAACTTTACATGTTGCTAAAATGATATTTAAATGATGAACATCAGTATCTTTAAGCAAAAAAATATTTTTTGAGTAATTGTACCAAGAACAGATTCTGGGGCTTCATCTTCAGCATCTTGGACCATGCAAAATTTTTCCACATTCTTCTTGGGAAGATGTGCTCAGAATGTATACAGTATCACTAGCTTTCATGGAGGAGGAAAACAATAGGATTTTGTTTTGTTTTGTTTTTTAAAGAAAGAAATTCTTGTTTTCCCATTCAAAATTCCTATAAAAGAAATTACATCTAAAGTTGAGTTGGACTTTAATGTTCATGTACACCAAGATAATCTTATGCTGAGAACAAAATGAGTTCTAAGAGATACAGCACCATGATGTCTGCCTCAGTCAAGAGGACCTCTAAACTTAGGAAACAGCTTCTACAGTTCTATTAACTCTTTGCAGATGAACTATTTGATTCTTAATCAGGTACATTGCCATGTGCTCTCTGTAGTTAGTAATACTGTGCCCCAATGAGCCAAACAATTTATGCTAGCTTGAAAGAATAGCATACAAATGTATAAGCCATCATAATCGACTTTTTAGCCCTGGTTTTCCAGGGCATCTATGAACAAGGTTTTGGAAGGTCTGACATGAGACTTTCAGCTATGGCCTATGCTGCTCAAGCTAAAGCTGGGTGAAGTCTGGTAGCTTGAAAAGCCGCCAGAGCAGCTGGGTTTCCTTTGGCCCTTTGGTAAGGCCTGAGCTTGTGTACCGATTGGTCAGTTGTGCCAAGAAGACCAAATCGATCCTGTCACCAGGATTTCCCCTGGTGAGGTCTGGGTTTTAACCTGTAGGTACATAAAAAGCAAGGATCCCAAATCTACATATCCACAACCTGAAACTAAATGAGCTTTCTGGGGATAGTGTTTAAATGACCTCAGGTCTAGATCATGCTTTGATCATAAACACTCAACTGGCAAAGGCTGTACCTTTATTCCCATGTCAGAAAAACTCGGAAACTTGAACTATTTCTGGTCTCAAGTATCAGGGATACAGCTTGTAAACCTTGTTAAGTCAGAAGGTACAGAGTTTCTCTCTCAGGAGAAGGTTGTGCAGTAATAGTTCAACTTCCATAGTTTAGAATCCATTGTTTTAAGTATCCACATTTGTTTGGAAGGGCCCATTAAACACAAAATTCCTGTAGTGCTCACGATGGTCAGATACTTAGAGTGATGTATGATGTTTACTGTACCCAGGAAGGAAGCCACTCAGGTCTTATAATACACAGGACAAACCGACACACAGAGGTGTACCATAGTAAATGGGAGAGCAGAGAGCTGGTAATTATAGCACAGCTGTCATGGATCTGATGTCTAGGCTTTTAGATAGGCCTTGTGATGGGCACACCTGTGAGGGAATTTTTCCTTAATTAAATCACTTGAAGTGGGAAGGATCCACTTCTAATCTGGATCTTCGAGGTGGGGAGTCACATCTTTAATCCATAATGTTTTGAAGTGGGAAGACACCCCTCTAATCTGGGCCACACTTCTGCTGGAAGCCTATTTAAAGGACTTGGAAGGAGGCAGTTTCTCTCTTTACTTTCTTGCTCTTGCCTTCATTAGCAAGTCCATTTCTTCACTGGCATTAGAGTTCACTTCTTCAGGATTCCAGCTTATACTGAAGACCAGCTGAGACATCTGGCCTCATAGACTGAACAACTTTTGCATTCTTGGATCTTCTTTTCATAGGCAGCCGTTGTTGGAGTAGCTGGATTACAGCCTGTAAATCATTCTAATAAATTCTCCTTCCGTCCGTCCCTCCCTCCCTCCCTCCCTCCCTCCCTCCCTTACTCACTCTCCCTCCTTTCCTCTCTCTCTCTCTCTCTCTCTCTTTCTCTCTCTCTCTCTCTTTCATATATATATAGTATGTATACACATACATTCTATATTTTTTTTCATTCTAGAGAACCCTGACTAATCCAGATCTCAAGACTGCTTCTTGGTTGCCCTTTACTAATGAGTTCCCATTACACAGCAATACTGAAGAATCACTGACATATATTCAATACTCTTCTTCCCAGCATTCACTGACAGTGGAAACTATTCCATACTCAACACAACCATTTTCATACTCTTTTCAAGGAGATTCAGGGCATGCCCACATGAGAGAACAAGAGAGAACACATTCAGGACTGTAAAGGAGGACCATGATTTCCAAATCCTATGCTTCAAAAAACACTTCCTCATTTTGTTACATCAGGTTACAAGGCAGGAAGAATTCAGTTGAGTCTGAAATTGAATAAGGAACGCCCAACTTTGGTAACATAGTTGATTTGTTTGTGTTTTTATTATTTGTCACCAAAGTTAATTCTCAACAAGCAGCAAACTTGGCTTCTTTGGGAAAATAGCTCTGGCAAGAGATTTACTAGGCAACACTGATACAAAAGAATAATGCATTATTTGCATGTGATTTTATCAGGTAGATTCATGGAGCTAGAGACCTGGGCATATTCTTCTTTATATTCAAGACTACAGAGAAGAGAAACTTCATTCTCCACGACAACTCTGATCAATGATAGAGGCTGCTCAGCACAACAGTGTAAACTGAGCTTGTTATTTCCCAGCCCTATGCACTAAAGTACAATTTCCAATCACATTACATCCTGGGCCACAAGCAGATTGCAGAGAAGGACTTAAAGCTTCAGTCATCCTGAAGTGATGGAGGATCACTAGCACCATTTCCCTTAGGCTCTAGAATAAAGATGTGTGGTACGGCTTCTTTATACTTTAGCATGGTTGACAATCATTGTTTAATTTGTGAGCAAGACACATAGTTAACAATAGTCAAATAGTAATTTGCTAGAGTTCTGGCAGGCAACAAAGGGTCTTGTACAATCCAGGCTAGAGCTCTAACACTGACTCAGGCCCCTAGTTCTGTAGATAATTATTTATAAACTTATTGCTGAAGAAAATATATGATATTTGTTAGTTCTATCATTCTTCAGTGCTAAAAAAGTTGATTATTCTTATATTTTTGGCTTTGAGTCTAGCTTTTAACTGCTGAACCATATCATCATTTGGACAAAGTGGTGGCCTGTAGAATGGGGAAAGATTTTAAACAACTACACATCTGGTAGAGGGCTAATATGGAGAATACATAAAGAACTCAGGCAATTAGTATCAAGAAAACAACCTAATTATAAAATGGGGTTCGTATATAAATAGAGAATTCTAAACAGAGAAATCTCAAGTGGCTGAGAAACACTTAAAGAAATGTTCAGCTTCCTTAGCTACCAGGGAAATGCAAATCAAAACTACTTTGAGATTCCATCTAACTCCTGTCAGAATGGCTACAATCAACGAAAGAAGTGACAGCTCTTGCTGGAGAGGAAGTGAAGTAAGGCGAACACTCATACATTGCTGATGGGAGTTTAGACTCAACAGCCACTACGGAATCAGTGTGGCAGTTCCACAGGAAGATGGGAATCAATATACCTCAAGACCCAGCTTTACTACTCATCTGCACATACATAAAGCATCCTACCTCAGAGATACTTGCTCGAACATGTTCATTACTGATCCATTCATAACAGCCAGAAATCAGAAACAACCTACATGTCCCACAACTAAAGAATGTATAAAGAAAATATAGTACATTAACACAGTGGAGAATTACTCAGCTGTTAAAAAATGATCTCATGAAATGTACAGGTAAATTGATGGAACAAAACAAACAAACAAACAAAAACAAAACAAAGCAAACTAAGAAACAAATAAATATATCCTGAGTGAGGTATCCCAGACCAACAAAGACAAAATGTTATTATTTGATTATTGGATGATAAGTGCATACCCAGTGTTAAGTCAGTGATTGCCAAGTTACAATCCACAGACCCATAGAGGGTAGGTTTAGAGTAAGGGTCAAGAGGGAACAGATAGATCTGGTTAGGAAAAAGAAACAGAATAAATACATATGGATGAACTGGGGGAGGGTGGATGGAAGGGTCAACAGAGGTTTATGGGAAGGAATACATGGAGCAAGAGCTAATATTCAAGGGCATTTGGGGGATAGTATGGAAATCTAATATAGTAGAAGCCTCCTAAAATATATACAAATAATTGAGAGATGGAGTCCCAATTGGCCAACTCTTGTCATCAAATGAAGCTTCCTATAACTGGAATTAGGTTACATCTAATGGAGTTACTGGCCAAAAGGACCCCACAGCCCAGGCTGTTACCAAGACTGTAGATTGTTCTCCATAAACTGACAGCAAGACCCCATTCCTGAAACAATACCTATAAAATTCACTGACAGGAACCTAGTGTGGTGGTTCCTTGGGAGGCCTGGACAGCAACTGATCAATGCAGATGTGGATGCTTGGAGCCAACCATCAGATTGAGCTCAGGGAACCTGGTGCGGGAGCTGGCGGAAGGGCTGGAGCAGCGGAGGGGGACTGCAACCCCATTGGAAGAACAACATAGGCTAACCTGACCACCCAGTTCTCCAGAGTCTAGACCACCAACCAAGGAGTGTACCTGGAGGGGTCCATGACTCCAGATACATATGTAGCAGAGGACAGCCTTGCCTGACAACAATGGGAGGGGAGGCCCTTGGTCCTGGGAAGGTTTGATGACCCAGTGTAGGGGGCTGCTGGAGTGGTGGGGCAGGAGAGTGTGGGTGGGTGGGGGAGCATCCTCATATAGGCAAAGGGGAGGGTGGAGGGTGGATATGGGATGAGGAGGGGTAATCAGGAAGTGGGATATCATGGGTAGGGGGTTGGTAGAGGGGGTAACACGGAAGTGGGATATCATTTGAGATGTAAACAAATGGAATAATTAATAAAAAATGTATACACCACATCAACCATGAACCTTTTATCTGCAACGATGTACTGCTTGCAAGATACACTAGTGCAATGATATGGGAGTAACCAACCAATAACTGACTTGACACAAGGCCCACTTCACAAGATTAAATCCACATTTGATACTTCTCAGGTGACCAAGAACCTGAGGCTAGATAGCCCAGGAACCTAGGGTAGAATCCAAGTAATACTGGCCTAAAGAGAAAAAAAGTAGCAATAAAATGATTCTTAATGATACTCTGCTACACTGGAAGATCAGTGCCTTGTTCAGCCATCATCTGATCAGCTTCATTCTGCACCAGATAGGAACAAATACAGAGCACCACAGACAGACCCTGCAGAGTGAGAAATCTTGGAACACTCAGCACTAAATGGGATGTCTCTATCAAATCCCTTTTCTCAGAACTCAGGGAACCCCATGGAAGAGGAAGCAGAGAGAATGTAAGAGGCAGAATGGATGGTGAACACCAAGCAAACAAGGCCCTCTAAATTAATATAAGCAAAACTTATGTGAGCTCTCATATACAGAAGCTGTTAGTAATCTGTTAAACTCCACCTCCAGAGTCACCTGGCAACAGCCAGGTATGCTCCACCCCACAGTTACTTGGCAATAGGCAGGTAACCCTGCCCACTATAAAAGGGGCTGCTTGGCCCCTCCTCTCTCTTGCTCCTCAACCCTGAGCACCTGCAGGTTGTCTCCCCTCCCCCCTTCTCTTCCCCCTCTCTCCACGTGGTCATGGCCGGCCTCTATCCTCTACTCTTTTCTCTCTCTCCCCCACCCCCCACTCTCTTAATAAACCTCCCCTCGTAGAACCATCTTGGCCTGTTGTGATCCATCCAAGCTGCGCGTGACCTTTCAGAAGCAGCATGTATGGGTCTAACATAGGACTGCACCAGGTCCTCTGTGTTTATATTATGGTTTCCATAATTTAGTGTTATGAGTTGAGTTTCTGATTCTTGTGCTTTCTCTTGGACTCTCTTTTTTTTTTTTTAACCCCTGTTGGTTTGCCTCATTCAACTTTGATGTGATTGTTTCTGTTTTATCTTATTATTATTCATTGTATTTTAAAAAATGGAATGAATGAATGAAATTATGAAAACCTAGCCACTAGGGCAAAGGTTAACAAGTGAACTGTTATTTATACCAGTGGTGAGAGGGAAACTCATTTTTTTCCAATAAAATGACACTGGGTATATCAACCAGTCCAGGGCAGGGCTCACGTTCAGTAGCTGACCAACCCATAATAGACTCCACAGCGTTTATTGTTGCTGCTGCTGTTGTTGGTGGTGGTGGTGGTGAGTGTGTATGTCATTTTATGTGGTCACAGTTTGTTGTTGCTGAAAGAGGGGTGTTATTTTATTTTGTTCTCTCGATTTGGAAGGTTTTGTTGGTTTGTGGTTTTGTTTAGTTTTTGAGAAAGAACTTAAAGTTGGCTGGGTGGTTTTTGAGAAAGAAATTAAAGCTGAGTGGTGGGTAGTGAGGGGGAAAAGCACCAAATACTTTAAATTTAAAATTTGTTTTAAATAATAAAATATAATAAAAAGGAAAAAAGTTGATTATTCAAAAAGGAATACAAGAGATAGAACTTGGTATTTCACCATTTGCCTAATATGTGTGAAGTTCTGCATTTAAATCCTGCAAAACACACAGACACACACTCTCTCTCTTCAGACACAGAAACATACACACACATACACACAATTATTTTGATTCAAAATGGAAATCAAGACAAAAATTCAGTCTCTTTTAAAACTCAAGTAAAAAAATCACATACAATATAGATTCAGCATCTGAAGTCACATGTCCATCAACCTTAAATACTTAGAATAATAAAGAATGTAACAAATATACTAAGGCCTTTCAACCAAAATGTTTCCCAGAATAACTGAATATCAATGGAAAGAACAAGAAGATACGTATGAATGTGGAAATAGAAAACAGTTATAACATAAAACACTACCACCACCAACTTTATCCTCTGCGGTGGCTCCCACCCATGCATTTTGCCCCCCAGGGTCACCTGTACTTTACAGCAGTGAATACAGTTCAGAGATACTCCCTTCTGACACAGTGACAGACATGGTGGGCTCTCCAGTTATTCAAACACTGTAGGGTACAGTGAATACCACACTCTTTAATTGAAAACAGTTATGTTTTTATCCTTATACACATATGTATACAAAGGAACAGATGCAAGTGAGGGCATATAATATGTCACAGGCAGCTGTCAGTAGACTACTCACTTATCATTTGGTTGGTGCATGACAAAGATAATCTAGAAGCCAAGAGCTCACCTTGCTGCCACAGTGTGAACTGGCTCCAGTCGCCCTTCTCCCGAAGGTTTTCATCCTCAGGCAGGAAGAGACCCTTGGCTTTATCCATCACCATGAGGCCTTCATCACGGATTAATTTCCAGTTTCTCTCTAAAGACTTCAAAGAAGATTTTAGTTTCACTGAGATGAAAAACACATCCTGCAGAAAATCTCAGGGTAACTTTCAGTTGTTTTGTTTGTTTAAGAAAGATAAAACTAAATCACCAACCGAAGAGTATACGTGGATGGGTCCATGGCTCCAGCTACATATGTAGCAGAGGATGGCCTTATCTTGCATCATTGGGAGGGGAGGCCCTTGGTCCTGTAGAGGCTTGATGCCACAGTATACGGGGACGCTAGAGCAGTGAGGTGCGGGAGTGGGTGGGTGGGTGAGCACCCTATTACTGACAAAGGGGTGATGGGATGGGGGTTTGTGGAGGGGAGACCTGGAAGGGGGACACCATTTGAAATGTAACTAAATAAAATAGCCAATAAAAACAAACAAACAAAAAACTCATCTTGACTAAAAGGAAAATAAAAAAAATAAAAAAGAAAGAAAAAATTCTTGCTTTCATTTAGATGCTTATTTTAGTTTCTTTGGACCCTCTTCTCAAGTATATTGAGAGAAGGGGCCAGGGAGGGAGGGAGGGAGAGAGGGAAGGAGAAAATTCATATTGGAAAGCAGCTTATTATTGGTTAAGAGTTCTTGCTAGCTACTCTTGCAGAGGAGCAAGGTTTGGTTCCATAACCCATAAGGTGGCTCACAACTGTCTTTAACTCCAGCTCCAGGATTTTCCCATGCCCTCTGTGGGCATCAGGCAGACATGTGGTACACATGCGTTCAGACAGAGAACATGTATACATAAAATAAAAATGAAAAAATAAACTTATTCATATAAACTATTAAAACCTTTCTCACTGTAATTATTTGTATTATGACAAGCTTTAAGTTCATCCCTTTATTCTCATCCCCTTCCTCTGTCTGTTTGTCTGTCTGTCTGTTCCTTTCTTTCCCTCTCCCTCCTTCTCCCCATTCTCTTCCTACTCTCTTTCCCTACAAACTAACAACAACCACAGTCTTGCTGAGGTTGCAATGACCAAGTTCCACATGACACCAGCATCCACACTGGAATACAGATCACAGATTTAATTTCAATAATGTTCCTTACAGTGACACTGTTCCAACAAGATAAACAGTAGTTAAACTTCAAAGCTTTTGGGAAACCAGACACTGGAGCAGGATAAAGTTAATAACAAAAGGAAAAAAATGTTTAGAATTCAGTGAAACAAACATGTCCTTGACTTATTATTTATAAGGCTGCTTTAGCCTCAGCCAGGGCTTGATGTTGGCAGATTCAGTGACTGATGATGCTGGCTCTGGTCCCATCACACTGTGGTGTGGGGCAGAAATGCTTGTGGAAGCAATGGGTAGAAGCAGGCAGGGGTGAGTCTACAGGGCATCAAGGAGGTACAGAGTGAAACTGGGGTTTGGAAATGGAAACCCTGTTGTTCCGCACTCCCAGAAAAGTGTCTGGAATAACAGAGAACAAGAGATCAGAGCAGAACCGCACTACCTAGATTTCAACATAAATCAGGGATCAGGCATAGCATGCTGCGGATGGCGTATAGAAGCAGGACACCGGAAGTAACAGTACAATAGCGACATTTCAATGCATGCGGTGGAAACAGTGAGAGCTTTCTGAAAGTGAGCTAGCTGCCTTGTGAACAGCATTCTATCTTGGAGTAAAAAGAGGCACGTGATAGAATGAAAGTGTTCTTGTTTTGTTTTGATCAACCTATGTTCCATGGACTCATGATTTAATGTAGGAAAAACAAAACACAATTAAATCAGAATGTCTGCACAGATTTGTGCGGAGACTATACCAACCTAGCATGAAAATGCTACCTCATACATAATTTCAAATTTCCTCAAGCATTTCCGCATATAGTGTGCACTGAAACTTGATGTGTATCCAGGTTGTAACCTATTCTGGGAGCAAGTAGATGAATCTCAGCCAATTACCAAATGCCAACTGTGAAACCAAAGTCAAATAGGACAGACCCAAGCTGCAACCAACATGGATTCTTTGCCTTTCCTCTCTCTATATTTATATTTGAAATCCACTTCCTTTTCTCCAGCTACAAATACAATCTGCTCCTATGGTAAAGAGTCTTGAGAAATTGTATGCAGATTGCTCCCCAATTCTAGAATCACATATAGGGCCAATTAAGGTCTTATAAGGCTAGATCCGTCATCATTGCTTTTAAAACCAGGGGACATTTTTGTATCATGTGAAAACACGGAATCTCTTAAAATGTTGCAGGGCACGGGATTTTGAGTAATTCTGTTTCTGTGAAACCCATCATCACCTTCCTTGCAACCTGTGTGCTTCTTCCTCCTGTGTGGAGAGCTGCCAATCAGTGGTCCTTGTTCAACACAGTCCAACAACCACAGTCCCTGCCTATTTACTCATCTCAAGCTGGGAGTCTATAGCCAGTAAGTTCAAGAGCACATTTCAATAAAGGGAGGCTCGAAAGTCCTCGCTGTGCAAGGTCCCAGAGTGAGAGAACTGGATGATTTTGTTAAGGTTTCAAGATTATGAGACGAGGAAAAAGTGCACCCAGGACTTGCAGTGTGCGTGTCATGAGCGCTCCTAGATTGCCACAGTACTCGGTGGGATTGTAGCGTGGTCAAGTTGCTGGATAGATCTGTTAGGTTCTTGTGAGTCTGTCACACAGACAAGGAGAGAATTACCTCTCTAACACATGAAATTACTTTCCAAATGAGGTTATCAGAGCCTTATAAGGGCAAGCTTTTCCTTCCCCCACCTCCAGTCTTTTAGAAATCCCTTTTATTTCTTTTGAAAGCTGATTTTAAGGGCATAGTTGGGAACAGCTGATCTTTTTGTTACTAAAATAGGGCACAAAGTCCTAGGAGAAAATGTTAAGTGATTGCATCAATATAATTTAACTTTTCTACTTAAGAACAGGCTGTCTTTTTACATAAAATGTCAGTCCTGCACCTTCACCTTCAGTCTCCCTGGAAGTGTTACAGCTAAGGTACTTTTCCATGGTAGTAATAATTTTCTTCTCTCTCTCTCTCTCTCTCTCTCTCTCTCTCTCTCT